AAAAACAATAAAGCATAATAGAAAGAAAACAAGATGTATGAATACATTCTCAGCATTAATGACAATAAATCAAGCAGGCTAAATTTTCCTATAGAAAGACAAAAATCTCTTAGTGGAAAAAAAAAAAGAAAATTTAACTCTATTCTCCTTATGATCAATACCTGAAACAAAACAACACAGAAAGATTGGAAATAAATGGGTGGCAAATAAAGTTACAAGAAAATGCAGACAAAAAGAAGCGATACAAAGTAGCAAAATAAAATCAAGTAAAAATAAAATCAAAATGAAATAAAACCAAAGTAAAATTCATGATTAAAAAGTAAGCATCAAGTAGGACAATAAAACTAATTTACTCTGATAAAAGGTACAATAAGAATAGTGAAATTTTATTTATTTAAAAACATTTTAAAATGTTTATTTATTTTTGAGAGAGATAAGGCATGAATGGGAGAAGGACAGAGAGAGAGGGAGTCACAGAATCCAAAGCAGGCTCCAGGCTCTGAGCTGTCAGCACAGAGTCCAATGTGGGGCTTGAAATCACAAACCATGAGATCATGACCTGAGCCAAAGTCGGATGCTTAGCTGACTGAGCCACCAAGGCACCCCGTGAATATTTATTGAACACTCACTCTATGCCAGCCACTTAACTGAGAATTTTCTCAAGTAATCCTCACAAGCTATGGAGTGACTGTAATTAACACTTACACTTTGCAGATGCTGAACAAGGCTTTAGAGAAATTAGATGTCCTCAATATCATACAGTGTAGATGGTCATGGATCTCAAACCCTGATCTACGAATTCCAAAGTGCAAATACATAGTACCAAAATATTTTTTTAAAAAACTGATGAGAATAAAAGAATTTATTTTAAACATTTAAATCCCTTTCTCTAGAAATTTCACATATCTCATAGCTCAAAAATAAATAGAGAGGAAAAGATTTGGATAACACAATGAAACACATATGTGGTATATACAGATAACTTTGAACTCTAAAGCCATAGCATATGCATTCTTTTCTATAAAGTCCAAAAATACTTAACAGTATGAAAATGTTCTAAGCCAGAAAGAAAATCTTATCAAATGCTGAAGAATGGAAATCTTAGTGCTGAGCCATAGTTTTTGACCCTAACATAGAAAAACTATAAATTAATTATAAAAAGATAAGTGAATCTACTTGATGATTTAAAAATCTTTCTAAATAAAGATAAATTTGGGGTGGCTGAGTGGCTCAGTCAGTTAAGCATCGGACTCTTGATTGGGTCATGATCAGGACTCATGCTCAGGTCATGATCTCATGGTTCATGAATTCAAGCCCCACATCAGGCTCTGTGCTGACAGTGCAGAGCCTGCGTGGGATTCTCTCTCCCTCTCTCTCTCTCATTTGTGTGCATGTGTGCTCTTTCTCTCTCTCAAAATAAATAAACATTTAAAAAAAAAAATTAAAATCTGATCACATTCCTACCCTGTTTAAAATATATGTATGGCAATTTTTATATAGTCTCACAATATGTCAGGCACTCTTTTAAGCTCTTTTTATGTTTTACCTAATTTCATACTTTTTTTTAAAACAAATCAACTTATTTTTTCATTATGAGAGAGGGAGAGAGCGAGAATCCCAAGCAGGCTCCACACTATCAGCACAGAGCCTGAGGCAGGGCTTGAACTCACAAACTGTGAGATCATGATCTCAGTTGAAATCAAGAGTAGGAGACTTAACCAACTGAGCCACACTGGTGCCCCTTAACTAATTTCATTCTTATAATTGTGTGGTAACTACTATTTTTATCCTCATTTTACACAAAAGGAAACTAAGACACAAGTTAAATGATTTTTTTCCTGGTGCTACTGTTAATATGTGGTGTAGCTGAGATATGTGAACTGGGACAGTCTATCTCCAGAGTCTACTCTGCCTCCAAGAACATTTCAGTGGCTTCTCTTTGTCTTTAAGAAAGAGTGCAAAATTAGCCTTACAGGATCTTAAGTCTTATATGTTAAAGGAGAGGCCATCTGGTGAACTATCTTCAGGGATAAAAAAATTGCAGAGGGAGGTTCTTATGGGTTCAATTATGTCCTCCAAAAATTCATATGTTGAAGTCCTAACCCCCAATACCTCAGAATGTGACCTTATTTTGAAATAGGATTGTTGTAGATGCAATTAGTTAAGTTAGGATGAGTTCAGACTGGAGTAGGGTAGAGTTCTAATTCAATATGACTGAATTCCTTATAAAAAAGAAAAATATGGACACAAACATGCACACAGGGAGAACACCATATGAAGATATATGATTGGGTAATACATCTACAAATCAAAAAACACCAAAAATTGCCAGCAAACCACCAGAAGCTAGCAGAGAGGCATGGAACAGGTTTTCCCTAACAACTTTTAGAAGGAACCAAACATGCTGACACTTTGACGTTGGATTTCCAGCAGAACTGTGAGACAATAAATTTCTGTTGTTTATGTTACCCGATCTGTGGTTACCCAATCTGTGGCAGCCTGAGCAAGCTAATACAGGGATTTCTCCCTGCTTCATGTCTATGACCACCTCAGGTACAGAGTCATATCTAAAATTGTTAAAAACTTTAAGAATATTCTCTTTTTTTTGCCAATACAATTTTTTAAATTGAAGCATAATTGATAGACCTTAAATTTGTTTCAGATGTACAACAGAATGATTCATCATTTGTATATATTGCAAAACGATCACCACATAAATTTAGTTCATATCTGTCACCACATATCATTACAGATTATTTTTTCTTATGATGAGAACCTTTAAGATCTACTCTCTTAGCAACCTTCAAATATGCAATACATTATTATTTACTATAGTTGTCATGCTGTATATTACATCCTTGTGACTTATTTTATAGCTGGAAATGTGTATCTTTTGATTCCCTTTACTTATTTTGCCCTTACCCCCACCCCACCTCTGGCAACCACCAATTTGTTCTCTGTATTTTGAGTTTTTTTTGGGGGGGGGGGGCGGCTGGGATTAGATTCCACATGTAAGTAAGAACATATAGTATTTCTTTCTATGTCTGACTTACTTCACTTAGCATGATGCTTTCAAAATCCATTCATGTTGTCACAGATGGCAAGATTTCATTCTTTTTATGGCTGAATAATATCCCATGGTTTATATATACCACATTTTCTTTATTCATCTGTCAATGGACACTTGAAATATTTCCATACCTTGGCTATTGTAAATAATGCTGCAAAGAACATGGAGGTGTATATATCTTTTTCAGTTGGTGTTTTCATTTTTTAAGATAAATACCCAAAAGTGGAATCACTGGGTAATACGGTAGTTCTATTTTTAATTGTTTGAGGAACCTCCATACTATTCTCCATAGTGGCTGCACCAATTTACAATCCCTTACACTGATAGTGTGTGATGGCTCCCTTTTCTCTATATCTATGCCAACATTTGTTAGCGCTTTTTCTGATAATAGCAATTCTGACATGTGTGAGGTGGTATCTCATTGTGGTTGTGATTTGCATTTCCCTGATGGTTAGTGATGTTGACCACTTTTTCATGTACCTACTGGCCATCTGTATGTCTTCTTTGGGAAAATGTCTGTTCAGATTCTCTGCTCATTTTTTAATCAGATTGTGGGTGTTTTTGCTATTAAGTTGTATGAACACTTTATATTTTGGGATATTAAGAATTTCTTCACTATGTAACATCTCTATGTGTATTCAATTCTTTAGTGATTAATGATAAACTCAAAAAAAAAAAAAAACACCAAAACCCCAAAAACAACAAGGACCAGGTTTTTGCCTTTGGACATCTGAGGAAGAAGGAATTTATGGAAAGCAGACTTATCTCTACAGCTAGTCTTGTGAAAGAAAATTACAAAAGGATGTGGAGGCAATGGCAACATAAAAAACGGAAAGACAAGAAGGCTGCCCTTGGGGCCTGCCAGAAAAAGAGAGAGGGAGTGAGAGAGGATAGAGAGCCTAGAAACTTCTCTGGAATCCCAACACTTAACTTCTCGTCCAGAAAATTGCAGCAATCTCTTTGCAGGCTTCTTCTATCTCCTCTCTTTGCTCCTGACATTTCTCTAGCCTGAATGTTCACTTACCTCTTCTTTGAGTGCCAGAGCTGGGACTAGGGTGAGGCTAACAAGGCCCTGAGGGTGCAAAAGATAAGGAAACACTCACTCAGGTGCCAGCCCTGCATCTCCACTGCCCTGAGAGTGACGGCCTCTCTAAATTGTGCACCCTACATGCCTGTTGAATCCAAGGATATTTACCCTTCAATGCTCATCTACACTCCCTTGATAATCCCAGTCAAAAGTAATTGCTTGTTCTATGTGCTGCCATAACACTTTGCTTATTTTTCTGTGAACTTAAAGCACTCATATCATTCCACGTAAAAATCCAGAGTCATCCTTGATCCTTGCATTTTTTCAATATTTTTTAATGTTTATTTCTGAGAGAGAGAGAGAGAGATCCTGGTATGGACAGAGAGAGAGAGAGAGAGACAGAATCCAAAGCAGGCTCCAGGCTCTGAGCTGACAGCATGGAGCCCAATGCAGGGCTTGAACTCATGAACTGAGAGATCATGACCTCAGTTGAAGGCAGATGCTTAACCAACTGAGCCACCCAGGCGTCCCTGATCCTTACATTCATTCAAACCCACATTCAATCCATCAAGAAATCTTTTTGACTCTGCCTTAATAATATCCCCAATATGACCACTTCTCACTCCCTGTACTTTTACCACTTTGTGTTGAAACTGCTGGACATTTGCAATGGCCTCCTAGTTTCCACTCACTTGCCCTACCCAAGCCCCCTGCCCAGTCTGTACAGGCATACCTTAGAGATATTGCAGGTTTTGTTCCAGACCACAGCAATAAAGCAAATACTGCAATAAAGTGAGTCAAATAATTTTTTTTCATTTCCCAGTATGTACAAAAGTTATCTTTACACTATATTATAGTCTATTAAGTGTGCAACAGTATTATGTCTAAAAAAAACAATGTACATACCTTAATTTAAAAATGTTTTATTGCTAAAAAATGTGAACCATCATTGGAGCTTTCAGTGAGTCAATCTTTTTCCTAGTTGAAGCTCTCACCTCCATGTTAATGACTGCTGACTCATCAGGGCAGTGGTTGTTGAAGGTGAAGGTGGCTGTGGCAATTTCTTAAAATAAGACGAGAAGTTTACTAGATTGAGTGACTCTTTTTTTCATGACCAATTTCTCTGTAGCCTGTGATGCTGTTTGACAGCATTCTGCCCACAGTAGAACGTCTTTCAAAATTGGAGTTAATCATCGCAAACCCTGCCACTGCCTTCACAACTGTTTTTGGAATATTCAGTTTTTAATATTTTTAATGTTTATTCATTCTTGGGAGAGAGATGGAGACAGAGTGTGAGCACGGGAGGGACACAGAGAGAGAGAGAGAGAGAGAGAGAGAGAGAGAGGGAAACACAAAATCTGTAGCAGGTTCCAGATCCAAGCTGTTAGCACTGAGCCTGATGCGGGCCTCAAATTCATGGACTGCGAGATCATGACCTGAGCCAAAGTCGGATGCTCAACCGACTGAGCCATCTAGGTGCCCCTTTTTTGTTTTTTTTTTGGTTTTTGTTTTGTTTTTTTTAATGTTTACTCTGGAATATTTAAAATCCTTTGTTGTCATTTCAATAATCTTCATGACATCTTAACCAGGAGTAGTTTCTATCTCAAGAAACAACTCTCTTTGCTCATCCATTAGAAGCAACTCCTGGGGTGCCTGGGTGGCTCAGTTGGTTGAGCACCTGACTCTTGATTTCAACTCAGGTCATGATCCCGCTGTCATGGGATCGAGCCCCACATCAGGCTCCATGCTGATTCTCTCTCTCTCTCTCTCTCTCTCTCTCTCTGCTCCTCTCCCCCACTTACACTTTCTCTCTCTAAAATAAAAAATAATAACAATAAAATAAATAAAAATTAAAAAAAAGAAGCAACTCATCATCTGTGAAAGTTTTATGATGAGATTCAGCAATTTGGTCATATCTTCAGGCTCCACTTCTAACTCTCATTCTCCTCCTATTTGCACCATGTCTGCAGTGTCTTACTCCACTGAAGTCTTGCACACCTAAAGTTATCTATGAAGGTTGGAATCAACTTCTTACAAACTCCTGGTAATTTTGATATTTTGATGTCTTCCTATGAATAATGAATGTTCTTATGGCATCTAGAACAGTAAACCCTTCCCAGAAGGTTTTCCATTGAATTTTCCCAGATCCATCAAAGAAATCACTGTCTATGGCAGCTATGGCCTTACAAAATGTATTTTCGTAAATAATAAGACTTGAAAGTCAAAATTACTGCTTGATCCCCAGGCTACAGAATGGATGTTGTGTTAGCAGGCATGAAAACCACATTCATCTTATTGTACATTTCCATAAGAGCTCTTGGGTGACTAGGTGCATTGTCAATGAGCAGTAATATTTTGAAAGGAATCTTTTCTTCTCAACAGCAGGTCTCATCAGTGGGCTTAAGATATCCAGTAAACCATGTTATAAACAGACATGCTATCATCCAGACTTTGTTGTTCCATTTATAGAACACGGGAAGAGTAGATTTCACATAATTCTTAAGGGACTTGGGACTTTCAGAAGGGCATTGGCTTCAACTTAAAGTCACCAACTATAGTAGCCCCTAACAAGAGAGTCAATTTGTCCTTTGAAGCTTTGAAGCCAGGCATTGACTTCTCACTAACTGTGAAAGGCCAAGATGGCATTTTCTTCTGATAGAAGGCTATTTCATCTGCACTGAAAACCTGTTGTTTAGTGTAGCCACCTTCAGTAATGATCTTAGTTAGATCTTCCAGATAACTTGGTATGGTTTCTACATCAGAATTTGTTGCTTCACCTTGCACCTTGATATTATGGAAATGGCTTGTTTCCTTAAACCGTATGATCCAACCCTGCTCTCTTCCAACTTTTCTTCTGGGGCTTCCTCACCTCTCTCAGCCTTCTCAGAATTGATGAGAGTTATCCGTCTTGCTCTGGATTGGGCTGTGACTTAAGGGAATGTTATGGCTGGTTTGGTCTTCTATCCAGACCACTCAAACTTTCTCCATATCAGCAATAACGCTGTTTCACTTTCTTATCATTGATGCATTCACTGGGTTAGCACTTTTAATGTCCTTCAAGAACCTTTCTTTGCATTCATAACATGGCTTACTATTTGGCATAAGACACCTAGCCTCTTGTCAACATGCCTTCCTCACTAAGCTTAATCATTTCTAGCTCTTGATTTAAGGTAAGAGACGTGTAGCTTTTCATTTCACTTGAACACTTAGAAGCCATTGTAGGATAGTTATTAATTGGTCTACTTTCAATATTGTTGTATCTCAGGGAATAGGGAGGCCCAAGGAGAGGGAGAGAGATGGGGGAATGGCCAGTGGGTGGAAGAGTCAGAGCACAAACATTTATCAGTTAAGATCCCTGTCTTCTATGGGTGTTTTGTGACACTGCAAAACAATTACCATAGTAACATCACAGATCACTGATCACAGATCACCATAACAAATATAATAATGAAAAAGTTTGAAATATTATGAGAATTACCAAAATGTGATACAGAGGCACAAAGTAAGCAAATGCTGTTGGAAAAATTGTGCTGATAGACTTACTCCATGCAAGGTTGCCACAAACCTTCAATCTGTTAAGAATGCAGTATCTGCAAATCGCAATAAAGTGAAGTGCAATAAAATGAGGTATGCCAGTCCTCCAAAAAAGCAGTCAAAGGGATCACCTCTTAAAATTTGAGATGGATCATATTACTCACCTATCAAAACCCCCAATTGGTTCCCTGTGTTACTTAGAATAAAAGCCAATCTCCTTACCAAAGCCTAAATAGTCCCACCAGAGCCCTGCTATCTCTCCAACCTGATTTCCTACCATGTCCTCCCTCAGCTCCAAGCACATTCATCACCCTCCCTAGGGTTCCTTTAAGCCCACTCCTGCCTCAGGGTCTTGGCCAGTTCAGTTAATCCTACCCTGAAATCTGTTCACCTCTTAATCTTTTTCAGTTCTCTGCTTAAACAACACTTTCTCTGAAAGGCTATATAAAATAGCATTCTTGTTACTGCTTTACACTGCTTTATTCTTTGACATTTTTTTCAAGGTACTTAATTACTATTTATATTTTATTTTTCATTTATTTGTATATTATCTATCTTATCCCCTAGAAAGGGTGCTACATGAGGGTAAGGATTTTTGTCTGTTTTTTTCCCCCATGCTTTATCTTCAGCACCTAGAACCATGACTGGCATAGGGTAGGAGGAAAGTTAATATTCACTGGATGGATGATGGACAGATGGATTCTGCTCTGTTGCATAACTACTTTACACCATTGTTTTACCCGTTACAAGTCTTTGTGGTAACTGTCAAGATCTCACTCTGCTCTAAACTCCCAAAGCATCTAGCATCTAGCTTTGCATTTCATACCTACTCACTAAATGTTTGTTAAATTGAGTTAAACCTACCTCTTTATAAATTTTCCTCCCCACTATTATCCATCACACATAATTCGGCAAGATTAAGCCACCTAAAGTACAGGGAAGATCATGTCTCTCCCGTACTGTGAACTCACCCTGAATTTTTCATGAAACTTTTGGGAAATCTTTTATTTACAAAATACAGATAGATTGCACACATGTTACTTAATCCTCACAATTACCCTATAAGATAGTAATACTCTCTTCATTTGACAGGTGAGGAAACAGAACCTCAGAAAAGTTCAGTATTTTTCCCAGGGTCCATTACCTGCAAATTATCTGATCTACCTGATTCTAAGGATGTGGCTGTTCACACTACATTTTGGTATTATTTCCCCAGGATTCAAAGCCAGATAGAGACAGTATGGTCTCTATCTACTTTTTTTGGTATTGCCTCTTCATTATGGCAGAAACTATTATTAAATCTTAGAAGTATATTCTTCTTATGAAGCCTCGTGTAATAGTGGAAAATGAAAAGTAAGCCATCAGTCAATAATAGGAAAATAATTTTTAAATTATATTTCACTCCAAGGACTACCCATGAAATTAATATCTATAAGGTTACTTTGAAATGCATAAAGACTAAGATGGACTGATAAATGGAGAGAGATAAACAGCATCTAAGCTATGAGAATATGGTGTTCACAGTAAAATATTTTCAACTCTTCCCATGCTTTAAAACGTTTATAATACAATCTGAGGATAATTTATTGAATACTAGGGAAAATCTTTATAACAATGTATTTTAAAACTTAGGAAATTATTTATGAAAATCATTACAAAATCATAAAAAAGAGACTGCCCCCCCTAAAAAAAAGCTAAGAGAAATTTACTAAATTATTAATAGCAGCTGTGTTTGAATAGTATCATCTGGGTAATTTTCCCTTTTTCCTTTTTGTGCTTCTTAACATCTTACAAATGTTTAATGAGCATGTTATCCAATCAAATGAAAAAAAAGTTTTTTTGAAAAGTCAAAATGCGTAGTAAGCTGCACTTTATGATTCTATAGTCAAATTAGCAGGACTTATGGGAGAGAATGTGATAGAGGAAGGTAGATCAAATAGAGACTTGGCCGTGCAACTCCCCACCCCCCTCCCGCCTTGTTAACTATTACCTAAATTACTTATGGAACTGCAGCACTGACTCCTTTCACCAAAAGGCCTCTGCTATTAAAGTATGCCTATTTTCATTTTTCCTTAATGATCAAAAAGGCCATTTCTAGTGGAGCTCTTTCACACACTTCTAGGTCCTACTTCTTAAAGCTGACTCATATTCATGAATCCCATGATAGCCACCATCCACTATTAATCACTTTGTGTTAGTGGAGGCCTCTCAGTCTTGTGGAGCTGAAGATTTGGTAAATACATCTTGGGGCTTTTTGTAAGAATATTTCTGGAATTCTGGATCCCTACTGTTAAAATAAATAAATTCTCTACACCAGCATGTCAGAAGGGAGCTAGGCTTTAGAGCTAAGGTCAAGGGTAGGGTCAATCAGCAGGAGTTTTACAAAGCCTATGACTTCTCAATGCAGGGTAAGTTTTTTCTAATGTAAAAGTGAGTGTTTGCAGATTCTTGAAACAAACAAGGGTAACTTGGCAACATTTTCCCCCCAATCTCTTAAAAAAAAACCTCCCCAGCAGTTATCAGATGGCA